TATATATATGTGTGTGTGTGTGTGTGTGTGTGTGTGTGTGTGTATATATATATATATATATATATATATAATATATTATATATCTTATATATATATATATATATATATATATATCATGTTTGCTTACCTCCGGCTGAAGCCTTCTGCAATAGTGAGAGCTCTTCCCCTTCAGGCGTTCCCTGTATACTTCTGATAAACCGCTGTATCGATCCATAGCACGCAAACAGTACCGCATTTTCCGAGACATTGGCCAATAACGCTGGTGTAGCTCCAGTATACAACCCTTTCATCCCAGATTGCTTAAACGTCTGTCTGAAGCAGTCTAATGCACCTTTGGGGTATAAATGTGATTGTGTTTGCATTTTGACCTTAACCGTGTCAAACGGATGCCCAGCATATACACAGGCAACCCCTCCGGCAATACCAGCGGTGGTGTCGGTGATAGCTTGGACGGCCCAGTGCGGTATAAACTGCCCAGACGCATGTATGGGTTCTAAATGAAGTGTCTGTGCACTGGTTACTTCGGCCATCTTGTACTATTTGGAATACAAAGTACTAATAGGAACTAATAGGATCAATGCAAACAATATCTCGTAGGTTATGTTGTGACCTCTGTGTGTGTGTGTGTGACTGTGTGTATGTGTTAAAATGTTTTGCCACGTGCTTGCTGATAGCCTGATACTCGTACGTTCTTGGAAGTGTGATGAGAGGAGAGTGGAGGAGTTTCTCTGGTGAGAAAATCAGAACATGCTATTTTAAAGCTTTGGTATTTATTTGGTACGAGTGTGATACTGTGATTCCCCGGGGAATGTAAAATTGATGAAAATTGGTACTCCCTCTCCCTCACACACTACTCTCCCAACTCTAACCTAATACGTTAAGACGTACATATGAACTTTGAACACAAGTACGTTTGCGTCCAACGTTTATATCGTGATGACCCAATAGTTGTCTCTATGGGGGTTGGAATTGGAGCCCCGAGGCTCAAAGTTCTCAGAAAGTATTTAGTTTGGATGTCCATTTAGACACAGAATAGGTCTATATTTTTTCCTGTCTTTAACCAGTATAAACGTACTAAAGTTGAAAGAATAAGGGTTTGTGTTCATTGTTCAACAACTTATAATTGGACCTCGTTAACGTCTACTCTACGCGAGACTGCGAGAGAGGCAAACAGGCAGAGTGCCTTGGGCGGATTGGCCCTCTTTTCTCTTGAGTGTTAACTGTTGACAGTGTTGTATAGACCACAAACTATCTACTGTGTACAAAGTTCATTTTAAAAGTTCACAGAAACCGGAAACATTGTTGTTATTTATGTATATTTTTATTTTTAAGGAGGCTATGAATCTCTTTTTTTAATAAAAAGACAAAAAATAAATACTCCTGACGTTTGACACTTTGAACTGGAGCCCTACTTGGACTCTTGGAGTCGGGGGAGCCTCTTGGACACCACATCCACAATTTCAACGTGTGTCGAATTGAAAGGACAGTTGACTGTTGTTCGCTTGTTCTGAACTTCTGTCGTCCGAATATTCCGTGTCCTATGATTCGATGAGTGATGCACTGATGACTGGGGTCTGGTCCAGGGCCACAGTGAGTGGCACACTGGCACAGTTTCACAGACTCGCAGACCACAGGGAAATTTTGTTCAAAAGTGTGCCAAAAAGCCAAAAGGGCACAACCTCACAAATGAAAAAGGGGCCTGGGCCCTGGGGCTCTGGAGCCTCTGGGCGCCAGCCGCCAGCCAACAGGCAACAAGGCTGAGAGTCCTGACTCCTGAGACTTGAGAGAGAGTATTTACTTTAAAACTTTTAAAAGAGAGAGAGTAGAGAGCAACGAAGCCCCCTATTTTCCTGTTTCCCATAGGGTTCTTTTTTTGTATATTCTTTGTGAAAGATATTATAGGTTCCTACTCATCCTATAAAACAATATATTCTTGACGCATTGGTATCAGATCGGAACATAATTTATACACTTTCTGATTAGCCTATATACTGACTCCAAAAAAAAATATGAGTTCACATCTTGTGTGAGTCCCAGAGGAGTGAGGACCCAGAGTCCCAGACTCGGTCTCTCAAGTCTCAAGTCTCAAGACCTGTAGGCTGTAGGCTAAGCTCATTACGTTATGGGGGTACGGAATAGAGTTGCACGTAAACGAATATTTATTCAATCAAAAGAGCCTACAAGCTCTTTTTATAGGACTGGTTCATATGGTAAAATCCGTACACACTTAAATTTTTAGACCCACAAGGTGCACCTAAGAGCATACAAAGGACTGTATATGGAATAAAAGCTGAACGTAAACGTATATCTATTCGATTTATAAAAGTTTTAACGGAAAACGGTTTGAGGTTAGCCTGTAGGCTATGTATTTACTACACTATACTCTCTCTCTCTCTCGACTACTAGTAGAGAGAGTAGTGAAGTAGTGATCCGTCATTCAGTCATCAGTCATCAGTCCCACGCGACTCGCGAGTCTGCGAGACAGGTAATCTATTTTGTTCAATTTAGAAGGCTATGCTATTTGATGTATTTATTTAGGGGTTTTTGGGGGTTTTTTAAAAACAAAAACAAATATTTTTATATATTGTATGTATTTACACCCTAAATATACTACTACTACTAGTATTTACATGCACTCTACAGTCTTATAAACACAGTCTACACTACAGGTTACAACTCTACACTCTACACTCTACACACTACAGACTGTTTTATTTAGACTTTAGTGTATCTATAGTGTACATAGACTACCGTCGGCGACTCGGCGTCTACCCTCCGGCCTCCCGTCTACAATCTACACCATGTATTTATTTACTATTTACATAGTCTATACTCTATACTTATATTTAAACATAAGACAGTTGGCGACTTGGCAGTTGGCGCCTGGGCGGAGCCAATATATTGTTGTTTAGGCTTTAGAGAGAAAGCCAGAGAT